TTTCTTTTCACATCCAGAGAAATATTCTGCCTTTTCAATATTTCCTAGGATATTTCATTTTTCTGGGAGAGGGCTGGATAATAACTTCCCACAACCTAACGAGAAGAGAGGACATTTTGGAAAAGACTCTGAAAGACTGAAGGCAAAAGGAGAAGGAGATGGCACAATATGAGATGTTCAGACAGTCACCAATGCAATAGATATGAATTTGGAGAAACTCCAAGAGACAGTGGAAGACAGGGGAGCCTGACGTGCTATGAAATTGCAAAGAGTTGGACACAACTTAGTTGATGTTGACCTCTGTATCACATAGCACTTAAAAAGCTTCATAGCAGTAGGCATGCATCTGTCCCTTTTAAAATGAAAAATACTCAGAATCATTTTGGCATTCTTGTTAGCTTTGGCAGAAGATCTAATTTATTTCTCCCAAGCTCCAGAGGCTTGGGGGGCAGGGGGAAACCACACTAAACTCTTTAAAAGGATTACACTTGCCTTTTGTGTGGCAAATATCCCCAACTATCCTGGCAAGGCCCAGAGAAACAAATTAGTGAAGTAAGGGACAAGCAACATTGAATTTACATTTACATTTAATTAATGAATTAAACATGGTTAACATAATACCCCGTAGTAATGAATATTCTGTGTTTTAGTAAATTATTAGGTGATTTAAGATGAACTATAATCAGTTGGTGAAAAGGTAGGGGCTTGGTCCGCTTGGATAAAAGAGATAATGTTATGTTGGGAGGATGAAAGGATCAAAATGAAAAGCCGTTGATGTAATATTTGATTTTTATTTTTGCAACAAGTTTTCCTGGGACATATAATTGATTTAATCTGCAATGTTTAATGTACTGTGTTTGTATAGGGCACAGCCTTTAATTGCACAATGCCAAGCCCCTTGTCTTAATTGTAAATAATTTATTGGTTAGTAATAAATGGACAGGATATATTTTCAGAATGAATAAAATCTGCACTATGAGCAAATAAAGAAATTCATATTTTTCCCAGTGACTTACTATTGTTTTTACTGTTCTTTTTAAGCCACAATTCAAAAATTAGGAAAGGAGGAGAGAATTTGAGATTGAGTAAACTAACTTAATTTTTTATTTTGTAAATACACTCGGAACTGAAGCTTTGCAAGTTTGCAAGAACAGTTAGTAGTAGCAGGTCACTACAGGTAGTCCTCAATTTACGACCACAATTGAGTCCAAAATGTATGTTGCTAAGTGAAAAATTTGTTGTGAGTTTTACCCCATTTTATGACTTTTCTTTCGACATTTGTTAAGTGAATCACTGCAGTTGTTAAATTAGCAACACGGTTATTAAGTGAATCAGGTTTTCCCATGGATTTTGCTTGTCAGAAGTTTGCAAAAAGGGATCACATGACCCCTGGACACTGCGATTGTCGTAAATGTGAGTTGCCAAATTGCCAAGCATCTGAATGTAAATCACATCATCACGGGGATGTGGCAACGGTCATAAGTATGAAAAATGGCCATAAGTCACTTTTTTCAGTGCTGTTGTAACTCCAAACGGTCACTAAGCCGGGAACTGTTGTAAGTCAAGAACTTCCTGTAGTAAGCTACCATGCATATATGTGTAGGAAATGAGTATAGAATAGTCCTTCAAGAATTATTTTCTCATCTGAAAGATTTATATAAATACCAAGGGCCAAAATAAATATAATCCATTTACCCAATGTGGCTAATGCTGTAATTTCCTCTTCTTGGCAGGAATCAGGAACACAGATTCCATTATAGTAGTCAATTCTGCCCTAGGAGAATAATGGTTTTAACCCCGTTATTGAAGGATCTGGCAAAAACAGTCAAATTAAGTGGATACTCAAAATGCACTGACTTCAACGGGGACCAATGAGAAATCCTATGTTTATAAGTCTATCAAAGGAGCCATCAGATTAATGCAAGGGGGTGAGATTTTGGAGACAAAAAAGGGCTCCAGTTAGAGAAGGGATGTCAAACTCAAGGCCTGGGGGCCGGATCTGGCCCACGGGGTACTTAGATTTGGCCCGCGGGGCCGCCCTGTAAAATGCAAAGAACCTGCCCATGGAGGGGCGCAGGTAGCCCTCCCAAGCTCCATTTTGACTGGCAGAGGGTTGCAGGAGGCCGTGGCAGCTGAAAACGGTGCTCGGGAGACTGTTTTTGCTGGTGGAACGCTCGGGCCACCACAGGCTCCTTAAGCTGGCCATGCCCACCCTGGCCACACCCACCCCAGCCCCCTAAGGTCAAATACAATCCTGATGCAGCCCTCCATGAAACTGAGTTTAACACACCTGAGTTAGAGCAACAGACAAGAGACCATATGCTATAGGTCTGTGATGGCGAACCTATGGCATGCGTGCCACAGTTGGCAAGCAGAGACATTTCTTAGGGCACACAAGGCGATGCCCTGTCAGCTCCAGTACGCATGCACGTGCTGGCCAGTTGATTTCGGCCTTCATTTTTGTCCATTGTTCACCCTCCAGAGGCTTCAGGAAAACCTCTTGAAGTCTCCGGAGGGTGAAAAACGGCCTTACGGGCAACCTGAAAGTCGGAAAACGGGCCGTTTCCCTTCTCCTGAGGGCCCGTGGGGGGGCAGGGGAGCCCGTTTTCACCCTCCCCAGGCTCCTAGAAAGCCTCTGGAGCCTGGGGAGGGTGAAAACGGGCTCCC